GTGTGTGTGTTCTTCTGATTTTCAGACAATCAATTTATACATGTCTTCTAGTTCTGATTTATGGACCATATGAGCTACTTTGTAAACGGTAAAAGAAGTGTTTCAAGAAGAAAGTGATGAAACGCAGCGTTTTGAGATGCATATGTGTTTGTTTCCAATCATACACCTGACTAATTTTGAGCGTTAAGAAAGTGAAAACTGCGTTTGCGTTTAGTATACAACACACGAACTCAAACGCTTTTCTTAGTTTTCGCTGCATAGCCTTGAATCAAGTTTTCAAAATGTTCTTACACACTCGTCGACAGTTTTAGCTACCACTTAGACATTGATTTGCTAATTTTTTTGTTAATTAATTATTTTAATTTTCTTTGAAAAAGTATTGTGATCTCTAAAATATACTTGAGTGCTTAGACCGAACAATTCGATCAATCATTAAATAAAAAAAATCCTTTCTCGAAATTAAAATCCGATTTTGGTATAATCACATTGCGGCAAGAGCGGTCGATTAATTAGCTTGGTTTGAATTAGATTTTTTAGCGATTGGTAATTACATTTTGCGGTTAGGGTACTAATACATATATTTGAACTTGGAAGAAACTTAAGACTCACGTAACTTAATTTTGTTCTTTTTCTGATAATGATTTGTGAAATAAACAATAGGAATGAATCAAATCGGAGGCGGATACTTTGATCCGATGATGGCAACGTCAAGTGCTCAAAGACTATCATCGACTCGGCATAGATGGACTCCGACTTCGACACAACTTCAGAGACTTGAGAGCATTTACGAGGAAGGAAGTGGAACACCAAATCCACGAAGGATTAAAGAGATCGCTACGGAGTTGTCTGAACACGGACAAATCACTGAAAAAAATGTCTACAATTGGTTTCAAAACCGACGAGCTAGGTCCAAACGAAAGCAGCCTCCGACTACTACGGAGGCTGATCAAGCCGACGAACCGGCGGTGGTGACGACTGAGGAGAGGAGGAGTTGTGGAGATTCTGGAGGGTTTGAGTCTTATGACCATATACTCTTCCCGAGTCCTGATTTAGGTATATGAATTTCTCTAACATATATGTTATTATGGCATTA